TACTTATCTAAGATGGCCGATATGAAATATAATACATACATGATGCTAATAAAAAAAAAAAAAAAAAACGGAATAATTAGATTAAAGGTGGGATAAGCGATTTTTCAAAAACGCTTTAGAAAACGGGCCGAATAGCAAAACAAACTTGTAGCCAATCAGCAGTAAGGGGCGTGTCTACTCATGATGTGGAGGAGAGAGCATTCAGTGCACTGGACGGACATTAGCGAGCCCAGCGACAGAAAGATAGAGATGGCAGATAAAAAACAAAAGAGGAAAACGTCTGCGGAACAAAAGAAAGCTCAAGGCAAGAAGTAGGACCCGTGTAAATATCGGATCAGCTTTCCAGCGCTGGAGAGAACTCAAGGAGCGGAAGGCCTGCGATCGAATGCCGAGGTTGCTTTGTTTCTTCTCTATAGGTGAGTAACACCGTGTCTGCGCCGCAACAGCTAAAGTCTGTCTAGTACACTGGACGCGACAAAGCGACCGTTGAAAATCATTTGAAATTTGTCTCAATACGTCATGAATAGAACGCAGCAGCAGTTTTCTGTCGGGGATTTGTCGTGTTGTGCTGCGCCGCATCCAGTGTAGACCATAGATATGTATATAGGCTATATCTATGGTGTAGACAGCATCGCTGATTATAATGAGTTCTATAGTATTTTGTTGCACTGCTATCAAAATAGGGGCGAGACCCTTTTGGGGTAGGGGTGTGTTTGTTTTGGTGATTTCAAATGTCAACATTAGTTCCCAGAAATCGCTTACCCCACCTTTAAATCACTAGCAAATAACTATGAATATTTTAAAAGTTTTGAAAGAACAAATGTGCTACATAGAAATTCAACCATTGTCTGACTCTGAAAATGAAACCATAACATTGTTATTCATGTGAAACTGTTTTATGGTCTGACTGCACTGAGCTGTTTTCATCCCTTTCTAGTCTAAGGTCACATGAATTATCAGGCCTGTGTGTTCAAGACAAAGTTCACATAAGACCGCCCATTTACCATGGATACCCTTCACAACTGTCATGAAAGTAAGTGTGGGAGCGAGACACACATAGTGTGTGAGTGAAATCTGCAAGTTGTTGCAAGCCACAAAAATCCAGTCCTTCAGACAGATTTACAGCACTAGTCAGAATTAAGAACGAAGTAAACACGGCTTGGAAAATGACAACATGTCACATTCAAATCTTGCAAGGCGTACAAGTACTGCTGAAATCCTGCATATACGTGGAATTAATGAAAAAGTAATTTGAAATACAAGAACAGAAACCGGGCTAAAACTTCTTTACCAATTATTAGTTACACCACACTATTTCAGTCTCATTCTGGTGCAGAAACCTGCGTCACGGAAATCTGCGGGGTTTTTTGTTGTTCAAAAGGCTGCAGGTTCACATTCCAGTGCTCTGTTGAAGTCAGATGTCGGATTTGTGTGGGATGTGACACACCCGTAATAAACGTGAGCAACCATTCCATTAACCACTCCACATCCTCTCAGACGCATGCTTGTTTCGAAACATCCTAACCTTACTTGGAAATTTAATTAAAGGACATCGTTTGCAAATAAGACAGAACAAATGAAATGTTGTAGCTTTGTGAGTCCACGTCATTTCAAGTGGAGCTCTATTGAAGAGATTTAGACTATTTCTGAGGCAATCCATTATTGCAATGAAATTGATAATCAAATCCGATAAAACAGCCCCTTTTCCAGTGAAAACATTTAAAGTAGCTACATATTCTGTGAAAATACAAATAAAATAAAATAATTAATTGTATTATAGTACATGTTTTACCAGTACTGTGAACAAAAAAGTGAAATAACTGCACTCTTCTAACTCTGGGTGTGTGGATCCTTAAAAACTAGAACTTTTATTCTCAAAAGAACAAAATGGTCCATACTCCTTTCCTTGTGTTTTATTAATTTTTACATATCGAGCAGCTGGCAATACAGGTTATTCAGCTACTGTGACATTTCAGTTGTCTTCTCTTTCATAACACAATTAAGAACACCTGCATGTACTTCGAACAACCAGTCTTGACTCATCGCATATAACATCATCAAAATCTCACCATTATTCTGGCTAATCTTGGTGTTATGCTTGAATATCAGGTTCGCAAAACCACTTCTTTCCCACAGAACTCTTGATTCACAGAATCTGATAAGATCACGCTCATGACTCAATGTGCATACTGGTGTAGTCCAAGTCATTTAGTCATATATAATCGCCTTAACAGGCTGAGATTAGCATTACAGAGATATGGCGTAATTTAAAGCATCCTAACACTCATTGTCTTTCATCAGGGGACCCACTGGGACAAAACAAACGGTTTAAGAACAAATAGGAAGACGTAATATACAGCTCCACTGAGAGCCCTCCCTCTACATTTACACAAAGAAGAGCTTTACTACTATTATAGCTACTCATGCCCACTGTGCTGTTCCAGTCATGAAGGGTCTGTGTCTGAGTGCTGATAAACTAGCACTTTAAGTACTTGGAAGAAAAATTACTCTCAACAAGTGGGTAAAAATTCAGTCTCAAGTTAAAAATGTAGTAAGTCAAGGGCAAAACCAATGGTGTGTGTGGCACTGAGAATTAATCTAGCATTTGTTTTTCAGGGTATGTGTAAGAGCTCCTGACCTACATTAACTAGATAATTCCCTCCTCAGCCTGTGACTTGAGGCTTTTGTCTGCCAAGCTGGCCATTGACTTAATGTTGTACAAATGTTGTGTGAGGGTTAGTTGAAGGTTTCCACCTAATCCCCTTGCAGCCCACTGGCATGGGCATCTGCACAGGGATTACAAAGACCAGCAACAGGCAACTAAATAAATAAAGGCACACCAACACACACACACACACACACAAACACTTATTTGTATATTATCAACAGTGTAAGATCATTAGGCTGGTGATCTTAGTAGCAAATCACCTCTAAAATTCCTAGTAAACTTGATTGCTGATTAGAGAACCACTAGAGTCAAAGCGCCATGTATATGGCTTTTTCATTACTAATTATAATAATTCATATTAAAATGAATAGTACATTTCTTCTTAAACTCTATTAATAAGAACTTTACTCTATTAACTTCTTAAAGTCTACTAATAAGAATGTAGCTCTCCAGAAATTGCTATTGGATAGCAACATTTACAAAATAAGAAAAAAAGTGAATGTGAGCCAAAACAGAGGTACAGTTGTGAAGCTTGAAACAGATAACCTCAGACTATGAGTCAGGCTGGGCCTCCTCTTCACGGGGCCCCAAACTCAATAGTAAGAGGTCTTTGAAGGCTACATTTGGGGGGAGGGTTCTGGTACCAGGCACATCCTAGTCCCAGAGATTTCCCCCGGAGTCTCCTTTCCTACTCCTCCACAAGTGGCAACTTGGTAACTTTTTTCAATTATTAACTTTTTTGTCAACTAACTTTTCTTTAAACATTTATTATAGTCCCAGAGATTTCCCCCGGAGTCTCCTTTCCTACTCCTCCACACCGAGGTGCTGACTGGAGCAGTAGGCTATATAGAGGATTACCCTGGGCTGAACTGACCACCTGCTCTGTGTCAGACATGACACAAGCCAGACGCATGTCCCACTGAGACACCTATGGCAAGCACCTATCACCAATCACTGACAACAATAACAATGTCACCTCATGCATAAAAGCACTGATGAAGCAGCTATAACTGAGGACCATTCATTCTTGACTGTCAGTGAAACCTGAATGAGTAGAGGGTACAGATATAGACCTGGACCCAGTTTGTAAGGCCATAAGAATTAATGAATGAACCACTCATTTTAAAATCTTCCCAGTCTACTGACATTCGCTTCGACAATTACAATGCACATTATAACTTTTGTTAACAATAAGTAAATCCACTTCACCAGCTAACAGCAATGTTATAGGAATATACAGAGCTACCACGAAAACAGAAGTTCAAAGACAAAATTCTAAAAATGACTGCGCACTTGTTTCTCTGAGTCATGAAGTCTATAGAGTGACCCCAAAAAATCTGAACAGTAATTGGCATACTGAAGATGTATGAATGTCATTGCATTAAAAAAACTAAATCACAAACCAAGTGGCAACTTGGTAACTTTTTTCAATTATTAACTTTTTTGTCAACTAACTTTTCTTTAAACATTTATTCATTTAGTAGAAGTATTAGTGTCAACATTAATTTAGATACAGGTACGGAGGCAGAGTAAACAGATCATTAAATTAACTATTGACATGCTAAACTATATGAAAATATGATATGAAAAATCTTTTTGCAAATGTTTTGCTTGAAACATGAAAAATATAAAACAAATATTATATTAAAAATGGTTATGTATTGCACTTTCAAACAAATGTAGCTTAAATGTCTAAATGAGGCCAATTTAAAGCTCATGGCAAAAGGGATTTTGAAATCCTGATGCAAAGTAGTACTTCTAGGCTTTGAACATTTTGGTGCATTATTTTTTTGTATTGTTGTTTTTGTTCTTTGTCTGAAGTTGTGGCATCATAAAATACTAAGTGGTTGTCAAACAAAAGAAAAAAGTTTGAAAAGAGGAGGTAGGGAGAGAGAGAAAGAAATAAATAAAGACAGAAAACGAGGGGACCTGACAACAAAACCTGTAGGACCCCCACCCCCACCCCTTTAAGTTTCCAAGTTCACCTCCAAGAATTAAAAAAAAAAGTGAAACACCACACTGTTCCACACTGACAGCTTCAATAGGCAGTCTCATAGACATGGATACCTATGCATTAAGATGGTGAAAGCACAATCAGCACCTTTGGTATTTCCTGAATTGATTGGGAGATGTCCTAAAGCAGAGCTCTAGGACAAGGTCAAAAGAGAGCTTTAACCTCAAGTGATATCCATATAAACATTATTACTAACTATTGTTAGTTGACTCATTTTGTTACGTCAAAGAACACCCACAGCCACCTCAAGGTGTGTTTTGCCCCTCACAGATTTATTGTCATAGTACTGGATGTGCTACTGGTACTAATGTGCCTTACCTTGTTTCTTTTTCCTGTTGGTGGCAAACTCTGACTTCCTGAGAGAGCTGGGTGCCGTCTTTCTATAAAAGCTGTTCCTGTCAAGTGAACCCACGTAGACAGGCTTCCTTGCCTGGCCTTGACCTTTCATATCCATTTTTCCTGAACCCGAGCGATCACAGTACTGGTCCTTGTGGTCATAACTGAGTTTAACAGGATCCTCATGCAACCGTCTCTCCTTCAGTGTCTGCTTTTGATAAACATCCTTTTCCCATTCCTTGCAGTGTCTTCCACTGTTGTGGTCAGACTCTTGTCTCTGTTCTAAGGAATTTGACCTTACATCTCTGTAACGCTCCCTGCTTTTCTGGTTATACTGATCACTCTCACAACTCTTGTCTTCATAGCAGTCTTTAACACCGCTATCGTAACGTTCATCTTTCCAATAGTTTTGTTCATCTTTTTCTCTGTAATCACGTTTATCACCCTCTCTGTACTGATAAGAGTCTCTTTCTTTAGGTTCAAAGCTATCCCTCTGCTCAGACTGGCTATTTTCTCTGTAATCATACCGGTCTCTCGGTTTGAGGTCATAGTGGTTACCTTTCTTACGTTCGTACCATTCCTTGTCATCTAGTTTAGAGGAGCCCCTTTCTCCTGTTCTTTCTCTACAGTCACAGTAGTCATCTTTTCTAAAGTCACTGCGGATCTTCTCCTTTTCTTTGTAGTCATAGTAATCTCCCTTCCTTTCTACATACCGGTCATAGTCTCTTCGCTCGATTGAATCCCTGTCTCTATACTGGTAGCTGTCACCTCTCCTACGGCCTTCCTCACAGTAACTACGGTCATAGCGGTCCCTATTTCTGTCATCACTCTGGTCTTTCTCTCTACGATCATAGTGCTCATACTGGAAATTGTCTCTGGAGTCATAGTGGTCTGCTTCTCTATATCTGTACCGGTCCTTTTTTCTGGAGTCGTAATGTTCTTGATGTTTACTGTCATAGAGCTTGTCTCTGCGGTCATAACGTTCATACTTATCCAGCTCTTTATGGCCATAGTAATCCCGGCCCCTGCAGTCCCCATCTCCGTAATTATCGAGCTCTTTATCGAAGTAGTCCTGGTTGTCACGGTCAAAACTGTACGCATACCGATCTCTGCGACTGTAAGGTTCCCGTCCCTCACAGTACTCATCTGATTCCCAAGAGTGGTACCGGGTCACATAGTCAGGACGTTCCTTACTCCTTGGGCTCTGTGCAAAGTCTCTGTGGTCAGAGTAATCCAGTTCTTCCCGATGCTGATAGAAACAGTGATTGCCGGTCCACTCCTGTGGCTTCCTCGGCTCCTGGTACACTGCTTCTGGGGACTGATAGAAGAACTGTTGGGGAGGGACCTCTCGGTAAGGAACCTTGTCCCAGTCCTCATATTCCCAGCATTGTTGACGGTACCCATTGGCTTGTCCGAGGTAGGCCTGGTGCTCCAAGTGTCCCGGTGCAGGTCTGAAGTCCTGAGGGCACATGACTGACTGCTGCTGAAGTTGTTGCTGTTGTTGAAAATGCAGCATTTGTATGCATCTCTCCTTCTCCCAGCCCTCACTCACCAACTCTTCAACGCTCTTACCTCTCTTGGGAGGAGGCTTGTTGAAGTCCCAGGGCACTGGGGCAAATGGCATAGGGTGTCCTAAGACCACCTGTCCCTTCATAATGGCCGTGAGAGTCCACAAACAGGGCAAGCTGTGTTAGCTTCCCCAGATTTCACATTCCAGGTCAAGATATAGAGGACTCCACCTGTCAGGCATGCTCAAACTCTCGGTCTCGCTCTAACTCTCTTTCTACGACGGCTGACTGAACAGGACTGTCTGGTTCAGACCTGAGAAACTCAGTCTCTCTCTCTCTCTCCGTCTCTCTCTTTGCCTACCCAGCCAATAGGAGGAAGAGAGAGAAGGAGGTGGGGGAGGGAAGAAGCAACAACGGAGAGGAGGCAAAGGGGAGGCATTTAGGGTTAATCACTGAACGTAGTCACATGAATGGATTACAGGGAGGCTGTGATTGGCTGAAGTCTTTGTTTGCAGGAAAACACAGGTCGGACTTCACAAAAGAGGAGGAAGCATTATCCTCTTTCATTCCACAAACTTCTCTGAGGTGTTTTTAAACTTGACATTACTCATGAGCAAAGCTGTATATGCTCCTTGAAGGCTCTTTTTATGCTGTTGTGCAACTAGAACAGGTATCTTGAAGCTGTACTATTTCACAGTTTCTGCTTGTGTTTTTAGCAGGTGTACATGGTTACAAAAACAACCTGACACACTGAATGTACTGTCAAAAACAGAATCAATTCTGTATCTGTTCTAACTTGCTATCATACGTTTCAGAGTAGCAAGTTTCCCATGAATGCCATAATCTTCTACTTTCATGTTTCAACAAGCTGACCTGGGAAAGTTGGACACAGGGCGATTATTCCACAGAGCACCATGCACGATCGAGTGCCTGCACACTGCACAATAAACCATTGTTAAGGGCCGCCCCTGGTTTCACAGGCTAGGGCATCTTTTCATGCAAAGAAGAAAAAAATGCTATTCATGCGCTTCAGTATAGTATATCACTCCTCCCTACAAAAAAGACAAAACAGTACACAGTACTATGATTTCCTACAGCACACAGTACTGAGAATGTGTCAGTGAATACAAATACTAGTAATGTGAAAATGTGGTAAAAAGAGAACAAGAAAGTTTTTTTGCTACATCTACTTAAGGTATTAAAATACAAAATATTGCTCCAGTTAAGGCTGAAAGGAAAGTGAGAATAAGATTTTGTGGGTCTGATGGCTTGTCGTCTATTCTTTATAAACTTTGGTATTTTGATAATCAGTGTTTAAGGTCTCACATTTCTACACATGGGGCAGACCGAAACTCTGTGCATGATGTTTTTCACTTCACAGACATCAGGAGCAACATTCCTCTTGTGTAATGGAATTGTTTTACTTTGTTTACACAAGTCCAACTCTTTGAAATGGCACTGAACTCACATTCAAAGATGGTGCACCTGGTTTCATACATTTATATCTAAAATCTGCCAAATATAATCTGTTTTTGGTTCATAGAAAGGTATGTAGAAGATACAAAGTGCAACTGAAAAAAATAGGTCTTTAAGGAGTTTTAAACATCGTTCTGTAGTTAATGGCTCTTAATGACCTGGCATAGGGGGGAAAAAACTTATGAATCTCATTTAGGACACAGACTAACCTGTGGATCAAAAGCATTCAAGACAGCCACTGTCCCTCAATGAGTGCCTGTTTCATACATTTTGATTACTTGGAATCTATCAGAGAACACAACAGGATTCAAAAAGTAATTACAGCAATGAAGCATTCAGATGCATGCTTGTGACAGAGGTGAGGACACAGGTCTCACATGCCACTCTTCTCATCTCTGTTTTTAGAATAGCATTCCTTCCAATCCCTCACAGCCTTTCCAGCAGGCGATGGGATCATACAGCTCTTTAAAGAGCCTTCTGTTAACCTGAATAGGCTTTCGTGCATGAGACAGGCACAGAAAAGCTGGGAGCTGGAGATTAGATCCAGGACACAAATGAGCTCTTGATGCTTTTTATGAGGACCCAAACAGATCCCAATTAGAACAAGGCCGGGGGAAGGGGCAACAGAAGGCTAGAACGGGACACTCAGTCATAAATACACTCATAAATGAGCCTGTCAAAACCAAAATCACAACTCTATCTTTCCTCCAACAATATGACTATGGAAAGAACTGTTCCCAGAAAGAAAATGATACATGAGAAACATAAGAGCCTGTGGGTCTGATAAGCCCCAAAACGGCCTTCAATTTCTTTCTTTCTTTCTTTCTTTCCAAACCAATAGTTTCAAATAACTTCTAATCCTACCTTACTCCAAAATCCTGTTTTTTTTTTGCTCCATTCCAGAAGAGATGACGAAATAAGTAGCTTGTCTCCTCCCTTCAACAGAAAACCGCTGTTCAGCTGACTGACTGACTCCCTGCACTGTAACAATAAATAACCATTGTTTCTACCCTCCCTGTTGAGAAACACACCCTGTTATGATAAATGTGGAAACACACACACACACACACACACACACACACACACACAAGCGTGCACACATACACACAAACACATCTAGCTAAATTAATAAAGAGAAAAACACAAGGAAACGATGCTACTGACACCATTATGACACCCAATGACTCAATATGACATGCATTGCTATACTCACAAGCATTGAAAATAGGGCTGGACGATTAATTGAAAAGTAATTAAAACTTAATTTAAATTTAACTTAATTTGATCGCTTTATTAAAAAAAAACAGACAAAAAAACAAAAACAACCTGCAGCAGCAGCCCGAATTGGCAACCTTGACCTTAAAAAATGTGTAGTCATGTGACTTCTGTCCAGTCAGTGGCATGGAAACAGCATAGAGGAGAACTCAAACACAGTAATCTGAGCAACATAAGCAGTGTAAAAATTATTATAATTTTTTTTTTTTACATATTTTTAATGCAAAAATAAAATTTTTACATTAAAACTGAAATGTGACTTTTTTCATAAGATGTTTTCATTTTCAAGAAATGTGTGCTTTGATTCCAATTGTTTGAAATATTCAATAAATAACCATAAATAGCTTGTGTTCCCTTCAATTATTTTAAAATCACAAAGAAATGCCGTTTTCATTAGAAAAAATATCTCCCACCTTTAATAGTTGAGCATATTTACAGTAAAAACCTTGTCAGTGAACTATGAGGACAAAACTAAATAAATAAATAAACAAAATAATCGTTCATTAATCGTAATCGAGGTAAAATGCTCAATTAATTGAAATCTTGTATTCAGGTCATATCGTCCAGCCCTAACTGAAAACCTAAATAATTTCACTGGGACTATCTACTTATCTGTTTACTGCGCAATGTAAATACATTTTTATTAAAATCCCCCAAAATTCTTTTGATTTGATCATTTAGTTGTGTAAAATGTAAAGAGCAAAAACAAAGAATCAAGAATGATTAATAGCAATAAAGAATTTTAGATTAAAGTTGATTCAACCACATACACAAACAGTGTTGTGCCGATCCACTTCGGTTAGTCCAAGACATACAGGCGTCACAGAAAACATCTGATGTTCACCAAGACTTGGGCAGTGCTCCAAACCAAAGGCATGCATCACTATGCCTGATAATCACTCCTGGCGAGCCACTGATGCAGCTCCTTGCTTTAAATCCTTGCTCATTATCAAATCTAAAACCCGATCCAAGTTTCAAATGGAATTCCTTGTCCCTTATACTTGAAAACAGATGGCTGTGACTAGCAAGCAGGTTACACATATCAAGCAAGATGTGTACACAGCTGTGTGCAAACAGTGTGTGTGACACACATAATGGTGTCACGTTTATGTGTGTAACACAAAAACACAAAGCAAAAAAAATAAAAATAATAATTCACTGTCTTGGCTATGAAATAGTGTCTAATTGTAAAAGCAATCTGATATGAAAAGGGGAGGGGAGAGTTATTTTAAAACACCGTAATACCACATACTAATATATACACAAACAACCCCTCTCCATCTCAGCTTAAGTCTTACCTGGTGCATGTGCGGTTCTGGTTCTAAGAACATGGCCAAAAAGGGCTGTGAGACGCACCACAGGCTGAACCAGAGAGCTCCAGAGTCTGGCTCTAAAACTACTGCTGCCCATGATCTCCAAAAAAAGCTAGATTACTATGGTAATGTCCAATACTATACCAAAAAACAGGAGGAGAACCGAGACTGATTCTGTGAGTAAAGGGACATGCAGAGAGAAATGTAGGGAAATGTAGCAAGAGAAAGAGAGCAAGAACACGGGTGCAAAGAGGCCATGTATTTCATATGTACATGGGAAAAGTGTAGCCAACAAGACCAGCATTCCACAAATATGAAAATAGTATTTCTATACCTACTATGGAAGTCAATGGGGACCAGCAACTGTTTGGTTCTTCAAAATATCTTCTTTTGTGTTCAACATAAAAGAAACTCATACAGGTTTGGAACGACACAATCATTTTTGGGTGAACTATATCTTTAAAGACACATGTTCTGAAAACAAGTCTGAATACGCTATTCATATAATTCAATGTAATTGACACTGGACCCTTTAAAAAAAAGAGCAAGATGCAAAAGATGACCATCTGCATGTGTTCACAGACCAACAATTGAACCGTTGCCTTTGACTGACAACCAGTGTCCTTCGTCACCCTCACCCAATAGTCCCTCCAGCAGAACTGTGCATTTTACTTTTCTCACACCCAAATAGTGTAAACAATTTCCTCTACATATGAGAACATCAGGACTTCTGTGAAGCTTAAAATGATCATTAAGAAAATCTGTTGACTTATTTATATAAGGATTTAGGTGGATTATGTTTGTATTAGCTGTATTAGTGTTATTTGTATTAGATAATACTTATTTGTATAATTAGCACATTGTTCCAAATTGCATCCACGCTAAAGAATCTGCTAAATGCATTAATTGTAAATGAAAATTCAACTAGCAGGTGAGTAGTTGTGTTGACACATACATTCACAGCCAGGGCAAAAGACAAAATTAATTTTTTTATGCTGTCCTTGTAAATAGCATTAGAGCTGTGTGAAGTTCACCTCTGACCTCAAGTCAGTTTGCAAGGCAGTAAAGTCACTGGTGTGGTCAGTTTCACTTAGCAAACACACACACACATACACATCAACATCAACAGGAGCCAGAATGTCCATTAGGGTCACAAGGGCCACATTCCACACAGACGTTCCGCCTCCCATTGTGTTCAACTCATAAACTAGAACGGCATATATGATACCCACTGACAAGATAGGGGAAACTAAATTCATCCAGTTGTGTTTTCACATAAAAATAATGAAGTGTGTGCTGGACAAATCACAGTTTCCACATTAGATCAGTACTGACTACTACAAACATCTAAAGCAATATACAACATAAACAGACATGTAACATACAAAATATCAAACACAAAGAAACACTTTCCAAAGTAAGCAATGAAAAGAAGAAAAAACATTACAGAACATACAGGAATAACAGATAAGTAATACAAAAATATAATTTTTTGTATTACGTTTGGGATTATGACTATCATTTATTCTACACAATATAAACACACAACTAGTGACCTCTAGTGGTGACTTGGGATGAGCGCTTCTGGAAACTCTGATGATATATATGTGACCCTGGACCACAAAACCAGTTTTAAGTCGCTGGGGTATATTTGTAGCAATAGCCAAAAATACATTGTATGGGTCAAATATATAGATTTTTCTTTTATGCCAAAAATCATTAGGATATTAAGTAAAGATCTTGTTCCATGAAGATATTTTGTAAATTTCCTACTGTAAATATATTAAAACTTAATTTTTGATTAGTAATATATGCATTGCTAAGAACTTCATTTGGACAACTTTAAAGGCGATTTTCTCAATATTTAGATTTTTCTGCACCCTCCGATTCCAGATTTTCAAATAGTTGTATCTCGGCCAAATATTGTCCGATCCTAACAAACATCAATGGAAAGCTTATTTATTCAGCTTTCAGATGATGTACAAATCTCAATTTAGAAAAATTGACCCTTATGACTGGTTTTGGGGTCCAGGGTCACATATAGACCATATGTAGACCAAAATAGACAATAAACTGGATACATCAGGAATAAATATAATTGATGACCCAGAGCTTATATTTTTGATTAACATCTCTACTAAAACAGCAAACATAGCAATACACCTCTAAATCCTCTTTTAAAGTGTGTTTTTGCTGTTTCTGTGGCTACAGTAAAGGTGATCTATGATCTAGGGCTCTACTGTCTACTGTATAAAATTAAATATACCTCTCATATATGACATTACGTCACTCTGAGCAAGCAGGATTTATGCTGATGGAAAGAGAAAATGGCAGTACAATGAGATTTAACTCATCACCTATCTAAAATTTTAACATTATGAATAGATTAGACATCTTTATGTTAAAGCAACATCTGGTTCAAAAATAAAAATGGTCAATTTATAAATCACCCTGTTTCAAACCTGCATGATTTTCTTTTTTACGTGAAACACAAATGTCTTCTGGAAACCATACTTTATAGCTTTTTATATACTGATAGCTTTTTGAAATGCAAAGACTTTTCTGCTTTGTTTTTATACTGCTTTTTGCTTCACAATCTCCAAAAATGCAGAACGCCCAAAGTCTCACTAAGGGGATTTTATTATGTCTTTGAATTGTTACATGAATAATGAAAGTCAAACAGGTTTGGAATAACATGAAGTGTATTATGCATCAGCATAATTAATCATTTTTAACATTTTCCCTTTGTTGCAGTATTATTAACCTTTAATGAACCTGGATAAATGTCATGCATGTTTAATAACTAAGAGCATAATATATGTACCTCTCTTTAGTGGTAAGTTTCCAGCATCCACAGAGTTAAAGTCACTGATGCACACATACAGATTCTCTCCTGTCTTGGTGCTTGGGATTGTAACAGGTTCAACAAAAGTGCTGGGAAACTGGCCTGAAGGCAGAAAGAATGAAAAGATATCAAAACCAATATCACAGACAGACAATGTAATGTGAATCCTCACGTGACTTTACCTGTGACTCCATCTTTAATTCCGAGCAGCCAAAATTCATCAACAACGCTGAGCACTTCAATGACATCTCCAGTGAACAGTGGGAGTTCTTCAGAGACACTGGGAAGGAACTCAAACACGGCACGCACCACCGATCCAGCCTCCATGTTCACTCATCACCTGAGCATCACAAGCAAAAGTGAGATGGATTAAACATGACACCTAGGCCTATACAACAAACATATTTTCATTACAGTTTCCCAGTGTATTTGTCAGCTAGATGCCCTTTCCTGTTCAAGATCTGCATTTCATGTGCTCTCATTACACATACTGAAGTGATGAGCTCAAAACATGATGACGTCAGAACAGCTGTTTAGAAAACAAGAATCCGCATTTATTAGTATCCAGGGAATACCATGCAATCTATTTATTTTTGTAGTAAAGCTTTTTTTCATATCCAGTCAAACGGGCCTGAAAAAACTACATTTATTTACTATTTTAGCAACATACATTTTTTTTAATTAAGTATCAGAAGCAAACTATATATATATATATATATATATAATAGACAGCAAGGTAACTACCACGTTCAAGGTCCAGAAAAGTACCAAAATGATCGACAAAGTAGTCCGTGTAACATCAGTGGTTCAACTGTAAAGTTACAAAGCTACGAGAATACTTTTTTGGGCAAAGAAAACAAAAATAATGACTTTATTCCACATTATCATGACACGGGCGTGTGGCAGCGCTGACCCAGACCTGGCGTGATGACGTCATTATGCCGGATCTGGGTCAGCGCCACCACACGCTCGCGTCATGGTACTGTCGTGAACGCGCGTCCACAAGTGACGCAGTATAGACGAAAATGTGAAATAAAGTCGTTATTTTTGTTTTCTTTACGCAAAAAAGTATTCTCGTAGCTTCGTAACTTTACAGTTGAACCACTGATGTTACACGGTCTCCTTTGTCGATCATCTTGGCACTTTTCTGGACCTTGAACGTGGTAGTTACCTTGCTGTCTATGGGAGGGTCAGAGAGCCCTCAGATTTCATCAAAAATATCTTAAATTGTGTTCCGAAGATGAACGAAGGTCTTACGGGTTTGGAAGAACACAAGGGTGAGTAATTAATGACAGAATTTTCATTTTTGGGTGAACTAACCCTTTAAGATAAGCTTTAAGAATGATTATGAGTTACATATGCATTTTTTTCTCATCAGATATCTTGTTTAATTTGATTAAAAAGGCATTCCATGGCTTTAAAGGGTTGTCCTCATGTTTTTATCATGACTGCTACTGAATCTTCAGCAATAAGTTGAAAAAAAAATCACTTTTTTATCAAGGTGCATTTAAAGTTTGAATGAGATAAACAGACACTGTACAGAAAAATAATGGGAAGAAATCCTAACATGCAGAGTTAGGAGTATAGTCTGATATAGGAGTATAGTCTCAATAAGGTAATTTAAGGTCTTTTAATTAATTATTCAAAAAGATTCACAAACCCAAGCGTTACCTGTTTGAATCATTTTTATTAATCCTTCCCTGAATTAACTAACTAAATAATTCGGAGTGGTTACTGAATCAACTTCTTAATTACTAAACTGCAAGTTAGTTGTTTTTATGTCAAGATTTGGTTAAAGATACACATTTACTTTAGTTTTTCTATTTTTCTAAAAATGAACACACATACATTACTGTTCAAAACATTGTGGTCAATTAAAAAAAAAATACAGTAACACTTTACTTTAAGGTGTCTTTGTTACAGTGTAATTATACATTTAAGTACTGAGTAATATTAATTAACTACATGTAATTACTAAATGGTTATGTTTAGAATTAGGGTTTGGCTTAGGGTCACTTCCATGTAATTATGCATAATTAACTGTAATTATAATAGTAAGTACATGTGTAACAAGGACACCTTAAAATAAAGTGTTACCAAAAATAAAATTAAAATTGTCATTTAGCAATGTTTAATTCAATGTCTAATTCAAAAATGACAAACATATTTATAATGTTACATAAAAACGTAATTTGTAAATAAATGCTGTTCAAATGTTTGATTCGTCAAAGAATCCTCAAAAAATTCAGTTTCTACAAAAATATTTAGCAGCATCACTGTTTGGATCATGTGACACTAAAGACTGGATTAATGACATATTTCACAATATTACTGTTTTTTTTTAACAAACAAAAAATTAAGCTTTGGTGAGCATAAGAGACTACTCAATCAAAAGCAACTCCATGTGTATGCAAATAGAACTGATGACATATACGTAACACAAGTAATAGTTTGGTTACATAATTCAAAACACAAAACGCTCAACCAAATCACAATGGTACAGGGCAATTCTCATTGTTAATGAGACTGGCTAAATAAATGTGTATAACTTAGATGGTGAAGAAACAGGCTGACTGATGATTTCACCTCTTTCTTGGGACAAAATTTCTTCAACCAGCTCAAATGTGTTTATACTCCCTCTAAAACAGTCATTCACATGAGAGCAATAATGGGGTGGAGGCCTTGAGCGGGAGAGTGTGCGGCCCAAAGTTTATAGACAATGATGAGTCATAAAGTTCTGCGTGCATGAAGTATACAAGTGTTTGTGAGTCTGAAACAATGTGAATTCATATGAAAATATTTATAGGAAAGCATGTTTCTGCCAGAATTTGTTAGAGTCCTCCTCCATGATAAACAAATGGAGATTGATCTAGCACACTAATGAAGCCAATCCCAACTGAATGGAGGATTAAGTATGAGAGTGTGAGAGTGAATACAAAAGAGACAGAGAAATATAAAGAGAGGAAATGAGAGCTGAAACGCACATGTTTCAGAAGCTCAAAGAACTCTCTGTCTGCTGTGTGTGTGTGAGAGAGAGAGAGAGAGAGTGTGTCTCTCTCGGGACCTCTCAAGTGTCGGGGTGAGGGGTAACAGGTGACCCGACTGAAAGGTGACAGGGGTCGCAGCAGGACTCATGTTGTTGCCAGGTGAAAGACTGTGTCTGAAAGTGACATTTTGTCTTTATGTTGCACACAGATGACTGCGTTTGAGTCAGTGTGTGATAAAAGAAGTAGAAGGCAAAATACACTATACTGCAGCCTTAAAGATACTCAAAATCCTAAATAACCGATAAGCACCGCCATGATAGATTCTAACTTCGACTCAATTAAAAAAAGATTGACTCAATTCATTAAATTGAAGCTTTTTAATTATAAATAAATATAAAAATGTGCAAAGGGTTAAGCGGTGCGTTAATTTGACTAGAAACACCAGAGACCAGAAATGTAAAGCATCTTTCTGTTATGATGCAGGAAAAAGTGGATACAAAAGCCTAGTGTTAACCCACACCACTGCTCTCATTCATGATGTTTTGAGTGAAAGAAGTGAAATCCACTCATGTACATCTGCAAAGAATTTGGGGGTGAAAAAGAAAAAAACTTTTTAGTCAGGCAGCAACAGACACCTTTTTCTTCTGCACTCTCTCAGGTTCACAGTAATGTGCCAATAGCTATAGCTTTCTATATTTTTTTATTATGAAGTAAAAATAAAAACTTAATTTAATCTCTGTAAATGTACACTGCCGTTCAAAGGTTTGGGGTCCGTAAGATTTTTAAATGTTTGTGAAACTTTATCCTCGCCAAGGCTTGCATTTATTTGATCAAAACACAGTAAAACAGTCATATTTTGAAAAATAATATTACAATTTTAAATAAATGTTTTACCATTTAATATATTTTAAAATGGAATAAATTTCTGTGATTCATCAGTGTCACATGATCCTTCAGAAATTATTTAATGCATGAAAAATGCATTTATTTATAATAGATATTTATTGTAACATTATAAATGTCTCTTTTGTCACTTTTGATAAATTTAAATCATGCTTGCTGAATAAAAGCACAAATTTCTTTCAAAACAAAAATCTTTTTGCCTCCAAACTTTTAAATGGTAGTGTTAATTCAATTGCTGTAACTGAATATATGAATTATTAAATTCCAATGCACAGTATGAAAAATGGATAATAATTTTAAGACTTGCTAAAGACTACACTGAATAGCATCATTAAATTATTACTTTTTTTTTAAATTAACTTTAGCGTTAGATGGCGTTAAAGGTTTAAAATACGGGACATATTTAAATATCCAAAATCAACAATACGTTACATAAAAGAAAAAAACTCTCATGTGATCATGATATATCAGTACCATACTAGTTATATTTTTTTATCATCTCTAAATGAAAGTGGAGATTAAATAAATTAGACAGTTAAACAGATGCTTAACCAGTCTAGTGCTGTCAAACAATTAATCGTGATTAATCACATCCAAAATAAAAGTTTTTGTTTCCATAATATATGTGTGTGTGCTGTGTATATTTACTGTATTATATATATATATATATATATATATATATACACACACACACACACACACACACACTCATACAGTATATTTTGAAAATATTTACATGTATATATTTATATCATTTATATTATATAACCGTAAATATATTTAATATACAAATAAAATATTTTTCTTAAATATATACATGCATGTGTGTGTGTATTTATATATACATAATAAATATACACAGTGCACACACATATATATTATGTAAACAAAAACTTTTATTTTGGATGCGATTAATTGTGATAAATCGTTTATGACAGCAGTAAACCAGCCTAAAATGCAAATTAGTCTAAAACCTTAAAAGGCACTTTATACTAAAATGCTGCCTATTAAGTGACTGACGGACTAGGAAGACAGGCAGCTGCTTTTGATTTTGGACACAGCAAATGTGTGTCAGTTACAGAAAGAATGCACTGACGTAACTCAAGAATATGAGGGAGTATCAAAGCTTTAAGCCTCACAAGAGAGGGTGAACCTTCAATATACCCTTAACATTACTGAGGGTGGTTAAATAACCATTATAATCAGCTAAAATCTGTTGGGTCAAACACACATGCATAGATTGCTTCTCTAAAAGATTCAGAGTATTTGTTGCTTTGACAAGGGGAAATAAGTGAAACCAGAACACTAACTGGGTAAAATGATTTCAGGCATTTTGCATTCTTCCCTATGTCCTGATCTGCTGTTCTGATCAACACCCTCTGAAACAATGGAAAATTAGAGACTTGTTGACTCAGAAATGGATTTCAGTCATCGGCACACTCTCTGCGTG